AAAATAGGCTAATAAATATCAGTGTGAAGTTATAGGTCAGTGCGTGCGTTTGTTCGAATATTATTCTTGTTTGCGGAGTAACAGTCCGCGCGCGACCTTTATTGTACAAATTTTTATTTAAACTGAATTAAATATTTTGTATTTTTTATCAACAGTAAGTATACTTTTTTTTAAATATTATGCACATAATGTTAATTAGAATTTTCTTTTCGTGTGGTCATGGGAAAAAGAACAAGAGCATTTGGAAAATCTTATGTCTGAATGCTTGAATGAAGTTGAGTTTGATGATGAGTCAGACCATTCAGAAGTAGATAATGTGAAAGAACTGATCAATAGTGATACTGAACCAGAGGTTACCGAATCCGAGGATTCTGACAGTAATGATGAAATTCCGAAGGAGACGTTTGTCGGAAGAAACAAAACAATAATTTGGTCTAAACATCCAATTCCAACGCACGGAAGAACAAGAAAAGAAAACCTGATAAAGCATTTACCAGGTGTAAAACAACCAGGTAAAAACTTGAGAAATGCATCGGAAATTTTGGCCCACTTTTTTTTCGATGTAATTTTGAATATAATTGTAGATTGCACGAATCAACATATACAAGCTAAACGTCCCGATTATCAGCGAGAAAGAGATGCCAAAAACACAGATTTGGTAGAAATCAAGGCGTGGATAGGACTTCTTTATTTAGCCGGAGTTGTAAAGTCCAGTCGACTAAATCTTGACGATCGGTGAAGCAAAAATGGTACGGGAGTGGAGGTGTTGCGACTAACGATGTCCCAGCAAAGGTTTCGTTTCCTATTGCTACATATAAGATTTGATGATTAATACTACACGTGACGAACGTAAGAAATATGATAAACTTGCTCCAATAAGAGAAGTTTTTGAGAATTTCATCGCTAACTGTAAAACTGCTTACAGTCAATTTGAGAATGTAACGATTGATAAGAAGCTCGAGGCATTCCGAGGAAACTGCAATTTTCGTCAGTACATTCCCCGTAAGCCGGCCAGATATGAGATAAAGGTGTTTGCACTGGTAGATTCCAAAACATTTTATGCACTAAATATGGAAGTGTATATTGGTAAGCAACCGGAGGGCCCTTTCGCAGTGAGCAACTCGCCAAAAGATGCTGTTGCCAGACTGTGTCAACCAAGAGCTGCCACAAGAATTTGCTAATCCTCCTCGCTCTCGCTCTCCTCTTTCAAGCATATTTGCTTTCCAAAAAAACGTTACCTTGGTTTCCTATATTCCCAAGAAGGGCAAAAACGTTTTATTGGTATCAAGTATTCATTATGAAGACGAGGTAGATGACAACACAAATAAGCCAGAAATAATAATGGATTATAACCAAACCAAAGGAGGTGTCGATTGCGTAGATAAGTTGTGTGCAGCTTATGATGTTTCGCGAAACACTCGACGCTGGCCAATGGTAGTTTTTTATTCTTTGATCAATGTTGCAGGAATAAATTCTTTCATTATATATTCAACAAACAATTCAACGTGGAATACTCGAAGACGAAAATTCCTCCAAACCTTATCCTTCCAGTTGGTTGAAGACCATCTTCGACGACGTCTCATTCAAAATATTCCAAACGTCATAAAGGATCAAATAAGAAGAATTTTAGCCGAATAATTGATAGAATAGAAACTGCTCCAATTATTATTACACCAAACAGAGATGATATTGATTTCAGTAGCGATAAATGGGAATCACAATCTCAAGAGACGTTGAAAGAGACATTGTTACAATTATGGTGATGATTTGGATTTATTGAGTGAAATACATACATATAATCTATTGCAGTACTGTATTGTAATAATTATTGTATTTTTTAGTTTACCTTTTATTATTTGTTTAATATTTATTTTGTTATTTGTATAGGAATTTTATATAACTAGTAAACTGTAAAATAAAAGTCGTTATGTTTTGAAAAATATTTAGGTATGCTTTTATTTTTTGATACCCAAATATTGTTCAGGTAGTTAAAATAACTGCAACATTATAATAATGCTTCTACATGCTATATTAATACAAGCCCATAAACCAAATTTTGAAATTAATTTTTCTTATTAGATTCATGCTTATACATAGAACATACTACTGACTGGTATTTCTTATTGGCTGACATCACAATGATTTACAACTGTGTAACAACCGGCAAGCCTAAAGACCATTTGCAACTACTGATAGGTCTTTAGCTACTGTTGTTATTATACTATTAAGGGATTAGGGCAGCGTTGTCACCAGCCAAAGGGTCCTGGAGTCCTGAAGGAACATCCATTCGCCAGTGGCAAAATAAAATAATAAAAGAAAATAATAAAAATAAAAAAAAAACATCCCTTAATAGCATATGTCGAGCGGTTTTGGCAACTGACTTAAGACTCGCAAGTCCTTAAGGGTAGGAACGCCGAGGCTTAACATGCTCGGAATATTTCATACTGGTTTTTGGAAAGAGGTGAGAATAAAATAGGTTAATAAAAAATAACATGTATATTTAAATATAAGTAAAAAATTATTAACAATTTCAATAAATCAAAACAATCTTTATTTTTGAAATAAGACAAGCAAAAATTACTATCCACAGTTGTAAATCTTTATTATAATAAACCATGTTAATAGAATATAATCTATGATAAAACCCTTAAATCTGATAAATATTTAATAAATAAACTTGGGACGAAAATGAAAGAATTGGCATTTGAAGAAAACTAATGAACTGTTTTAAAATACATCACCCAAACAATAGATTTAAACATGTTAAAATAAAATAGATATTACCTTTGAAAACAAAAACACTACACACACACTTTACTATATACAATAAATATTAATAATTACTTAGTTACATTTTTGGGCATAGGTTTGGCCCAACGGCCGCCCCTTCAGTCTTTTTTGCGTCAACGATTGACTCTCTATTTATATCAACCTTAACGTGATTATTTTAAAAAGAAACTCGACTTATTTATTTTTAATGATTATTCGCACGATTTGTTCTCTAATTTTCTAGTACAATGAACTATTTCTAATTGTTTGGTTTTAATAAATATGTTGTGTTAATTTAATAAATTTAATAGATATTAAAAATATTAGATATTTTTGGGATTTTTGTTAAATTCTTTATATTTTAAAAATAATAATGCCAATTATTACAACTGTTATTCCTTTCTGTAGCTACAATTGTCGGAACTTTCAAAGATTCCCTAATTATTTTTAAAATTTGGCAACGGCGTGGAGCTGTGATGGTCTAAAATTTATCACGTCATCGATGACGTGAAAAATAAACTTTCAAATTAAAAATAGTTTTCTAAAAAATTTAATTATTTTTTCTGTTAAAATTCTACAACTACGATCTGTACTACAAAAATAATGAATGTATAATGATGTTAAAAATGAGAAAATTAGATAAAATGCATAAAGTCCTAATCAGCGGTTTCCTAGAAACTGGTAATTCTGATAACGCCGACATCTGCAGGATCTGTTACTAGGGCTGATGTAATTCGTGCATTGGTTTTTATATTGTATGAAGTATAAGTAAACCTGCCTTATAATTCTTTTATTGTCAACTTATCTTACCTATATGACTTGCTATAAACATATTGATTTATGTAAAATAGTTAATAAATTATTATATTCTATTAAATGTACTCACTTATAGAAAATATCAATACAAATCTCTAGAAGCCTGTTAGTAATTTTATGGAACTATATTAACCTGTTTCATGTTTTCGAAGATTTTTAATCACGTCTGGTGTATTTATGCTACAATGATGCAATTTCGTAGCAAACAACAATCATTTTATCTTAATACATATTTTATTGATACCAATCATAACAACAATATACGGTGATACAAGAAAACAGTTTTATCAAATATTTCGTCTTGAAAACGAAGAATAGGTTATATTCATAAATTGAAATTGTAGATATAAGATAAAGGCAATAATAAAAGTTCTTTTTTTTATAAAATTAGAAGTATTTTGCATATGAATCTTTGATAAAATTTGTTTAATTATTTTTCTTTATTAAAATTCGAGAGACGCTAAAATGGTGGTTCCCACCTTATTGAGATTGAGGCCCACAAGGCCAAACTCGTAGCGTAACAAAAACGAGAAATGATTTAACTTGGAACAAAAGACCGAAAATTATTTACAACTCGCTGGTTGAATCTATTTTGCAATATGGTATAATGTGGACTATATGATATTGCACATCTACAAAAAACCAGCATTATATCCTACCTTTTTTTTATATAATAAAAAAGTGCTTCGTATAAGAACCAAGGGTGGCTCCAGGGAAAGGACTATGGGGGCTATGGCAGCCATGGCCCCCGAGGTAAAAATTCTTACAATTTATGGAACTTTTATTCAAAAAAATATGCTAAAAAGGGAATGGCTAAAGATAATGTAGCCGCCCTCAATAATAACATTATATCTTTAATGCGCGAGCAAAGGGACTTGTCATAAAATTTCTCAATCGATCTCCTTTGTCTGACTTAATATTTCGAGGTATTTCACCGGTAAAAGCGGCGTAAGTCAATTCCCATTATTAACGTATACGGAGTAATTGGTTTAAAAGACATAACTCAATTTAAACTCAAGTTTCTTATGCCCTTTTGAGCACTGCTAGAAAAAGATCGTAAAGGCTTAAGTGAAGATAAGTCTTCAAAGCCAAACTTTTCAATTGAACTTAAGCCCTTTGTATCGTTTGTAAGCGGTCAGCTAATTTATATTTGTGTTCATTTTACATTGTGAATGTGCTATGGAATTAAAAAAAAATCATAAAAATATCAAGCAGAGGGCAACAAATTTTGGCAATATTGAAACCAGATATTAGTAAGTATTACAAATCACAAAATTCAAGGTTTATTTTCTTAAATATTTTATTACCTGAAAGGTACATTTTGTAATTTTTTTGGATAGCAATATATTTTTTATTATTTTTCTATATCCTGCTTTCTGTACAAAAATTTAATGGGTCAATATTATTTGTTTTAGACAAGTTAGAAAAAATTAGGGAGTCGAATGGCGATTCCAATTTAAAAGTAGGTGGTAGCGAAACCGTAAAGGAACTTACGGAAAATTATTCACTTGAAGGAAAAAATGAAATACCCTTACAAAACTCTAAGATATTACCTGAAGTTCAAACATATGAAAACTATTTGCTAGATGAAAATGTTATTTTCGAAGAAGTTACAAATTTTAACGACGTTATAGAGCTTCAAGGAGAAGCTGAAGTTTCAGTGACCAAGAAACTTTTTTGGTACAAGACTTTACTGCATCCATTTTATAATTGGGTATTACTTTTTGTAGTACCTATTTAAACGACTTTTTCAATATCCAGGTTTAACGTACCCTTTATTTCCCAAAATACAATGATGTCGTAACATTTGCTTTAGCTACTTTAAAATGAAAATAATTGGAACAGCGTTTATGAAAAGTAAGAGTTTTTTTAGATCATAATGAATAATGGAATAGTGATAATAGTTTACAGGATCCAGATTTTAACTGTTATTCAGAAAACAACTGTAGCGATGAAGAGGACAGCAGTAGTGGAGAAAATAAGTCTCAAAAATATAATACGAGAAAAAAGAAAAACAAAGGAATGAATATACCCAAAAAACAAATAAGCAATCAGATGATTGGAATATTGGAACAAGAAGAAAAAAATACGAACATGCAGCAAGTCATATTAACCGAAAATATTCAAGACTTTGTAGTTGAGCAAAATATTACTACTGAAAATATTGCAAACGAAAACGATGAAAATATTGAACCAGAAGATGGAGAACATAATGAAATATTAGCCGAAATGTCAAAGCTATTTTCGAGAAGGTTAAGAAAGGAAAGAACATTTAAACGAAATTCTGGGCAACAATATATAACAGCAAAGGGAAAAGTTATTAAAAGCAGAGAACTGAAAAATCTAATAAATTATAGATTTAGATGGCTTACCCAGGAATTGATAGAAACAATTTTTAAAGAATATTAAGGACAGCAAAGTCATTCCAAGAGAGTCGGTTACATTAATAAACTTGTTACATCAGCTGCAGTCAATACTCGTAGAGTTCGAAAGGAGAACTCTAACAAATCAAGAAATGTTACTTACAATTACGCCTTTGAAATTGATGGACAATGACGCAAAGTTTGTAAAAACTGTTTTCAAGGAACAATAAATGAAACAGAAAAATTTATTAGAAATTGGGAAATAAAAAGAAACATGCATCCTCTAACAAGACAAAGGAGTTGCAGCTTGCAGAAATTTTGGCTCATATAGATTCATTCCTAAAATATGAAAGCCATTATACGAGTATTCGCAGAGTGAATGACCAAAAATATTTATCATCAGTTCTAAATTTCTTAAAAATGTATAACCTCTATCGAGAATCTCATAAAAATCCCGTTAACCCTAGAACCACAACGTGAAAGATCTAACTCACAGACCACAACATGGGGTCACGTAAGACCCCATTTACGTCTGGTTTCTATTAATTTATTTCACAAAATACATTAACAAATTCTTGGAGAATACAATTTTTTATAGAAAATCAAAAAGCGTCAAAAATTTATGGCTTGCAGTCCTCACAAATACATAAACTATGTTTAGCACATATATTTCTTTTGCAACATACACATATATGTAGGCCCTTTCGGTTTTGTTTGCGTGGACAGATATAGTACATATTCCTTTTCCACTACAATTATCTGGTAGTTGCCGAGCCTCATGAGGCATTCCAAGAAATTCACATAGACTACAACGTAGGTTTCGTTGTAAATGTTCATTTTGCACCCTTATTTTGATTTGGTCTTGTACTAGGACCAACGCCCAATTTTTTAAAACTGTTCCTCTACTCTCTTTGATTTAATTTTTTTTTGCAGTTTTGAGAAACAAAAGTATTGACACCACCGCTATTATTTCGGATTTTTGTGTACCCTTATCTATGTCCGGTTGAAAAGGCATTATGCTTAGCAAAAGAACAAGTTTGTTTTTTTTCGGTACGACAGAAACCAGAGTCTTATTAGCATCAAAAGCAAATGCAGATGAAGGAATTTGCTGACGCTTGGTTTCTAAATATGCTGCAGGAATTTTTCTCTTATTTTTGCGTAAGGTACCGACCATTGTTAGTTTCTTTGTAAGTAATTTATCTGCCAGTTCAATAGGGGAAAACCAGTTATCCATAGTTATGTTTCTGTTGGTATTTTCAATATCTTTTGATAGCCTTATAACATATTGTGTAGGAATATATCCCGGACTCGGATCCCTAGTTTCTTTTGCAATGTACGGTATCGCAGAACACATATAAAAAGTTTTGGCATCGCACATCATAACGACCTTTAAGCCATATTTATCTGGTTTGCTCGGTATATACATCTTGAATGGGCATGGGCCTCTAAAACTCAAAAGTTGCTCGTCGACTGTAACATATTCAGAAGGCGTGTAGCTGTCTTGACAATTTTTTACATATATATCCCAAACGTCTTAGCGCTGCAAGTTTGTCCTAAGCCTTTCTATCTGTTCTTGTATTTTTATCATCAAATCGCAGACAGTTCAAAAGAAATTCAAATCGATTTAGACTCATCGTTAATTGAAATATTGGAATCCCAAATTTTGTTGACCACAGTTCTTCTAATGATAGTTTACTGGCTTTTAAGGGACCAGCATAATACAGCAATCTAAACAAAGCCAGTAATTCTGCTATATTTGTATCTTGCTAATATCTTTCTTGATTTCTTGATTGGTATGCTCCATTTTTATGGATAAAATGTATATGAAAAAAATAACTGCCAAATTTGTTTTAGATTCAGATGTTGTCTAGCTTTACCTTTTGGTCCGGGTAAATGGATTACAATATTTTTTCTTGATGTTTTTTAAAAAAATTGGACTGACAAGGATGTCTATACCACTTATATTCATTATGTCCATTTATAGTTGGATATTTCTTATTTGGAGGTGATAATTTTTTATAGATATTCTTTAACTAGGAAAAAATCTTTAAAGAACTAAATCTTAATCGACGAGGACGACCATCCAATTTACTTAAGATTAAAAAACGTTATCTATTGGAAATTTTACCATTGGTATACGAAGAGTACATACATTTTTATGAAAATTTACCTAATAATAATGCTCAAGCAGATAGGGATCCTGATTTAGAAGAGTTCAATCCAGAAGAATATTAGGTACTTAGTAAAGTAGGTATACAAAAAAAATATAATTTAGGTTGTGGTGCAATAAAATGATACAAGAATTAGTATTACGTATTGGATTTTTCAAATTTTATTACGGTACAAATGCTTATGTTTTATTAATCAACAATATTTTAGGTGAAACATACTTAAGTTACTGTTAAATCAAATATACTTTAATATATTTTTCCTAATTTGGTTTAAATCTACAGTCAATGATGTTATTAAACTGACTGAGAAAGATTTTGGTTTTTAATTTGCAGATTTTTCAAAATGTTTGTAAACTTTAAAAAAAAAAAACTGGATAAAATGTGTATTTGACTTATGCCCTTTTGCCCGCACCTTAGAGATATTATCTGTCTTGCTGTACATTTATTTATGAAAAGCTTGAATTGAGATACACTACAAATCATTTGCACAACACAAGAACCAGATTAAATGAGCAGTTGAGAACTCCAGCAGTTCAGCGAGATGCAAGTCAATGGTATGTAACTTATGATGCTCCCAAAGTTTTTAATACTGTACTTACCAATGTGAAGAATATAAAATGTTTTATGCATTTCAGAAGAAATCAAAACTCTTTGTCACATTTAATATTGATACATATAAAGATGTAATCTAGATATTCTTTTATTTTGTTTTTGTAAATGTATAAATGTGTATATATTTAGGTATTTTTTTTTAAATTTATATCTCACTCTATATTTTATATTAGCACATTTGCATGCAAGCACTAATGAAATATGTATAATTTATAATTTTCTGCCATTACTTTTTGCACATACATGTACTTAACTAAATTATAATTTCTCAAAACATTTTTAAACATCCATTGTTTGTTTGTTTGTTTGTTTGTTTGTTTGTTTGTTTGTTTGTTTGTTTGTTTGTTTGTTTGTTTGTTTGTTTGTTTGTTTGTTTGTTTGTTTGTTTGTTTGTTTGTTTGTTTGTTTGTTTGTTTGTTTGTTTGTTTGTTTGTTTGTTTGTTTGTTTGTTTGTTTGTTTGTTTGTTTGTTTGTTTGTTTGTTTGTTTGTTTGTTTGTTTGTTTGTTTGTTTGTTTGTTTGTTTGTTTGTTTGTTTGTTTGTTTGTTTGTTTGTTTGTTTGTTTGTTTGTTTGTTTGTTTGTTTGTTTGTTTGTTTGTTTGTTTGTTTGTTTGTTTGTTTGTTTGTTTGTTTGTTTGTTTGTTTGTTTGTTTGTTTGTTTGTTTGTTTGTTTGTTTGTTTGTTTGTTTGTTTGTTTGTTTGTTTGTTTGTTTGTTTGTTTGTTTGTTTGTTTGTTTGTTTGTTTGTTTGTTTGTTTGTTTGTTTGTTTGTTTGTTTGTTTGTTTGTTTGTTTGTTTGTTTGTTTGTTTGTTTGTTTGTTTGTTTGTTTGTTTGTTTGTTTGTTTGTTTGTTTGTTTGTTTGTTTGTTTGTTTGTTTGTTTGTTTGTTTGTTTGTTTGTTTGTTTGTTTGTTTGTTTGTTTGTTTGTTTGTTTGTTTGTTTGTTTGTTTGTTTGTTTGTTTGTTTGTTTGTTTGTTTGTTTGTTTGTTTGTTTGTTTGTTTGTTTGTTTGTTTGTTTGTTTGTTTGTTTGTTTGTTTGTTTGTTTGTTTGTTTGTTTGTTTGTTTGTTTGTTTGTTTGTTTGTTTGTTTGTTTGTTTGTTTGTTTGTTTGTTTGTTTGTTTGTTTGTTTGTTTGTTTGTTTGTTTGTTTGTTTGTTTGTTTGTTTGTTTGTTTGTTTGTTTGTTTGTTTGTTTGTTTGTTTGTTTGTTTGTTTGTTTGTTTGTTTGTTTGTTTGTTTGTTTGTTTGTTTGTTTGTTTGTTTGTTTGTTTGTTTGTTTGTTTGTTTGTTTGTTTGTTTGTTTGTTTGTTTGTTTGTTTGTTTGTTTGTTTGTTTGTTTGTTTGTTTGTTTGTTTGTTTGTTTGTTTGTTTGTTTGTTTGTTTGTTTGTTTGTTTGTTTGTTTGTTTGTTTGTTTGTTTGTTTGTTTGTTTGTTTGTTTGTTTGTTTGTTTGTTTGTTTGTTTGTTTGTTTGTTTGTTTGTTTGTTTGTTTGTTTGTTTGTTTGTTTGTTTGTTTGTTTGTTTGTTTGTTTGTTTGTTTGTTTGTTTGTTTGTTTGTTTGTTTGTTTGTTTGTTTGTTTGTTTGTTTGTTTGTTTGTTTGTTTGTTTGTTTGTTTGTTTGTTTGTTTGTTTGTTTGTTTGTTTGTTTGTTTGTTTGTTTGTTTGTTTGTTTGTTTGTTTGTTTGTTTGTTTGTTTGTTTGTTTGTTTGTTTGTTTGTTTGTTTGTTTGTTTGTTTGTTTGTTTGTTTGTTTGTTTGTTTGTTTGTTTGTTTGTTTGTTTGTTTGTTTGTTTGTTTGTTTGTTTGTTTGTTTGTTTGTTTGTTTGTTTGTTTGTTTGTTTGTTTGTTTGTTTGTTTGTTTGTTTGTTTGTTTGTTTGTTTGTTTGTTTGTTTGTTTGTTTGTTTGTTTGTTTGTTTGTTTGTTTGTTTGTTTGTTTGTTTGTTTGTTTGTTTGTTTGTTTGTTTGTTTGTTTGTTTGTTTGTTTGTTTGTTTGTTTGTTTGTTTGTTTGTTTGTTTGTTTGTTTGTTTGTTTGTTTGTTTGTTTGTTTGTTTGTTTGTTTGTTTGTTTGTTTGTTTGTTTGTTTGTTTGTTTGTTTGTTTGTTTGTTTGTTTGTTTGTTTGTTTGTTTGTTTGTTTGTTTGTTTGTTTGTTTGTTTGTTTGTTTGTTTGTTTGTTTGTTTGTTTGTTTGTTTGTTTGTTTGTTTGTTTGTTTGTTTGTTTGTTTGTTTGTTTGTTTGTTTGTTTGTTTGTTTGTTTGTTTGTTTGTTTGTTTGTTTGTTTGTTTGTTTGTTTGTTTGTTTGTTTGTTTGTTTGTTTGTTTGTTTGTTTGTTTGTTTGTTTGTTTGTTTGTTTGTTTGTTTGTTTGTTTGTTTGTTTGTTTGTTTGTTTGTTTGTTTGTTTGTTTGTTTGTTTGTTTGTTTGTTTGTTTGTTTGTTTGTTTGTTTGTTTGTTTGTTTGTTTGTTTGTTTGTTTGTTTGTTTGTTTGTTTGTTTGTTTGTTTGTTTGTTTGTTTGTTTGTTTGTTTGTTTGTTTGTTTGTTTGTTTGTTTGTTTGTTTGTTTGTTTGTTTGTTTGTTTGTTTGTTTGTTTGTTTGTTTGTTTGTTTGTTTGTTTGTTTGTTTGTTTGTTTGTTTGTTTGTTTGTTTGTTTGTTTGTTTGTTTGTTTGTTTGTTTGTTTGTTTGTTTGTTTGTTTGTTTGTTTGTTTGTTTGTTTGTTTGTTTGTTTGTTTGTTTGTTTGTTTGTTTGTTTGTTTGTTTGTTTGTTTGTTTGTTTGTTTGTTTGTTTGTTTGTTTGTTTGTTTGTTTGTTTGTTTGTTTGTTTGTTTGTTTGTTTGTTTGTTTGTTTGTTTGTTTGTTTGTTTGTTTGTTTGTTTGTTTGTTTGTTTGTTTGTTTGTTTGTTTGTTTGTTTGTTTGTTTGTTTGTTTGTTTGTTTGTTTGTTTGTTTGTTTGTTTGTTTGTTTGTTTGTTTGTTTGTTTGTTTGTTTGTTTGTTTGTTTGTTTGTTTGTTTGTTTGTTTGTTTGTTTGTTTGTTTGTTTGTTTGTTTGTTTGTTTGTTTGTTTGTTTGTTTGTTTGTTTGTTTGTTTGTTTGTTTGTTTGTTTGTTTGTTTGTTTGTTTGTTTGTTTGTTTGTTTGTTTGTTTGTTTGTTTGTTTGTTTGTTTGTTTGTTTGTTTGTTTGTTTGTTTGTTTGTTTGTTTGTTTGTTTGTTTGTTTGTTTGTTTGTTTGTTTGTTTGTTTGTTTGTTTGTTTGTTTGTTTGTTTGTTTGTTTGTTTGTTTGTTTGTTTGTTTGTTTGTTTGTTTGTTTGTTTGTTTGTTTGTTTGTTTGTTTGTTTGTTTGTTTGTTTGTTTGTTTGTTTGTTTGTTTGTTTGTTTGTTTGTTTGTTTGTTTGTTTGTTTGTTTGTTTGTTTGTTTGTTTGTTTGTTTGTTTGTTTGTTTGTTTGTTTGTTTGTTTGTTTGTTTGTTTGTTTGTTTGTTTGTTTGTTTGTTTGTTTGTTTGTTTGTTTGTTTGTTTGTTTGTTTGTTTGTTTGTTTGTTTGTTTGTTTGTTTGTTTGTTTGTTTGTTTGTTTGTTTGTTTGTTTGTTTGTTTGTTTGTTTGTTTGTTTGTTTGTTTGTTTGTTTGTTTGTTTGTTTGTTTGTTTGTTTGTTTGTTTGTTTGTTTGTTTGTTTGTTTGTTTGTTTGTTTGTTTGTTTGTTTGTTTGTTTGTTTGTTTGTTTGTTTGTTTGTTTGTTTGTTTGTTTGTTTGTTTGTTTGTTTGTTTGTTTGTTTGTTTGTTTGTTTGTTTGTTTGTTTGTTTGTTTGTTTGTTTGTTTGTTTGTTTGTTTGTTTGTTTGTTTGTTTGTTTGTTTGTTTGTTTGTTTGTTTGTTTGTTTGTTTGTTTGTTTGTTTGTTTGTTTGTTTGTTTGTTTGTTTGTTTGTTTGTTTGTTTGTTTGTTTGTTTGTTTGTTTGTTTGTTTGTTTGTCAATGTCATCCACAGTTCTCAGGTTACTTTAAATGTGCATTTTCATTTTTATTTGTATCATTTTTAAAAACACGTTTTAAAATTCAGTTAGCAAAAGGTTCATAAAATATATAAATCACAGTAAAACCGTCAATCGATTAACCTTGTGTAACACTTGTATAATTATTAATAAATTACATGTGTTAAGAATTATTGTTAAAAATAAATATCAAAAGAAGCATACAAACATTTTTAAATAATTTTATATTTAAGAGCACAAATGACAACTTGATACTTGACAGGCATAACCAAGCATTATTCTGATTTTTGCCATATAAAATGTCCGGTTAATTATTCTATGGGGTTACGACAGAGCCAGTATATTTGATGAACGTGTCACTGGCGAAATAGTAGTAAGCTTAAGTTAACAACACCATAAAAAGTAATTTTTAAGAAACTGTTTATATATTTTTCAATAATTGACAGGCTTGGCGACTACTATTCCGGACAAATCTTAGTAATTTTCTTCATATTAGTTATATATCTCAAGATCAAATTATCAACGCAGTTAATAAATTAAAAAATAAGTTAACCTGTGGTCCTGATAATGTTTCATCCAAACTGGTGAAAAATTATATAGGTTTTTTGTCAGTACCACTCTTTTACATATTTAATCGTATACTACAAGAAGAGGTCTATCCAGACATTTGGAAAATATCTAGAATCTGTCCCGTTTTCAAAGCTGGTAAAATTTCTGATATATCAAATTACAGACCAATCGCATTAATCTCAGTTTTTTCCAAAATTTTTGAAATTATATTTTCTAATATATTATATTCCCACGTAAAAAATTCAATCACGGAATACCAACATGGTTTTGTGAAGCTCAGAAGTACCGCGTCAAATCTGTGTACATTTACGCAATACATATCTAGTTCTTTAGATTGTAGAAATCAAGTTGACGTCGCATACACAGATTTTAGTAAAGCGTTTGATAAGGTGTCTCACAAACAATTGCTTCTGAAACTGAGACAATTTGGTGTTTCAAAGAGTATGCAATCACTGTTAAAGTCTTTTTTAACTAATCGACAGTTATATGTTGAATATGAGAGTGCCAAATCTTTTAATTTCGTGTCAACGTCAGGGGTTCCTCAGGGCTCGAATTTAGGCCCTTTATTGTTTGTTATTTTTATTAATGACATCTGTCATTGTATCAACTCTAAGAAACTCTTGTTTGCAGACGATATGAAAATTTATAGGGAAATAAAGGATACCTCAGATTGCATTGCTCTTCAGAACGACCTTGTAAACTTACATAACTGGTGTATCGTAAATAAACTATCTTTGAATACTAACAAATGCAAAGTCCTGTCCTTTTCCAGGAAAGTAAACACTGTCTTATACGACTATCAATTAGATAATCTTGTTATTCCCCGGATATATAATTACAAAGATTTAGGTATCTTATTTGACAGTAAACTGACTTTTTCGGAACACATTGAAAATTCTGTGCAAAGTGCAACAAAAATCTTGGGTTTTGTTATTAGAAACTGTAAAAAGTTTAAATCTTTAGAAGCCATCTTCTCTGTTTATTTTTCACTAGTTCGTAGCAAACTGGAGTATTGCAGTTGTGTTTGGAATACTAACCATTTAAAGTACATAAGTGCATTAGAATCTGTCCAAAGAAAATTTTTAAAATTTATTTACTTTAAAACACATGGCCGTTATCCTATTCGTCACTATGATTATAATTTATTGTTAGAAGAATTCAGTTTTGTGAGTCTGAGAAAAAGAAGAGAAATAGCAGATTTGATATTCATCTATAAATTAATTAATAATTCTATAGATTCATCTTCTCTGCTATCTCAATTTAATTTTCATATCCCACGTATTACATCAAGGTCAAATATAACATTTCATATTCAAGTGCCAAATTCACAACATCACTTTCACAGTCCTTTAACTACAATGTGTAGAAGTGTTAATAAGTATTCTGTTGATATATTTTTTCTAAAATTGTACCAATTTAGAGAGCAATGTTACAAATTGGTATCAAATTAGGTAATTAGAATGTAATTTAGTTAAGTAAGTATTCTCAAACTTTGTATTTTTATATACTCCTGTAATTGGGCTGATAAAGCCTGTTGGATGTATTAAATAAATAAATAAATAAATAAATAAATAAATAAATAAATAAAAATAGTCTCCAAAATGGCTATGGTTGCAAATATGAAGGTCGCAATCCCCCTTAGAAATTTCATCTTTATAATTAAGAGCTGTTGTTTGATAGGCCGTTGGAGTGCCCAATGTTTGCAATGTATGGAATGTTAGGAATGATTGAACTGCGTAAAATAAGTTACATAAAAAATGCATGGGTGGATTTTAAGAACATTAATATTCAAGTAGTTAGGATGAACCGAAAATACTAAAAATCAATAGTTAGAAGCAATTATTCAAGTCGATCAGAACTCTCATTCTAGAGTTAACGTGCCGGCATATATACGCATACACGACCAGACGAAACCTTTTTTGTTTCATTTTCGGACTCAGAATGATAGGAAACGTAAATAACGTTTAGAAAATGGGTGTAAGAAAATTTTTTCGCCTGCACGAATGCACTACTGAGGCCCCTTTGGAAGGGCCTTGGTAATTCTTCAATTTTATTTATAAATCTTATGATGTATTTTCACTTAATAGATGTAATTTAATCATATTTGTTTTTTTCTAAAATGAATTCAATTTCTCTTTATTTCTGTATTTTTTCTGTTCCACTACTTATATTTTCTTAAACTGATTCATTCTGTATTGATAATGTTTGCCTATCTCATTTCTTTTTAAACTAATTTAAATTTTAATAATATCCTTACATTGTATTTTAATCCCTGTACTATTTAAAATTAACATTAATTATCATTCAATTTTTCTTTTTATGTCTACATTTTTTGTTAAAAAATATCATTGGATACTGCATTTATCATTATATAGCATGCTTAATCACCCTATGTATTTTATTTATGTACTTTTACTGGAATAAATAATTAAATTAATAGTTCTCTGGTATGAACTTGAAACTACATTTTTAAATTATTCTTCTAGTAGCAATAAAGATACTTGTGTATGATAAATTTTTGTCAGCGCAGTTTATTTTTAACTGCATTCCTAATTAAATAACAGAATGTAAAAACGTTAGTTATCATCTAAAATAATTTTTTTTGAAGAATTTAGAACGTTAAAAGTTTGTGAGATAGTGTTTGTTGTGATCTAAAAGATGACTGTTACAACTAAGGCAATAGAAACAGTGGAGCTGCACATTGATCGGAATTATTTTCAAATTTTATCCATATTTTCCGGTAAGTAATTTTAAAAATAATTGTATAAATATTGACAAATTTATGTAGGATTGGATTAGGATTTGATTATACTTATTACATAATATTTGTTACTATTATTGTGATGTAATGTTTTTAATTACTTATCGCGTTAATTTTTTAAATAATATTTTTAATAATATTCTTTACAATAAATATACTGTGATCATTTAAAATGATACATCCATGAATATTACGACATATTTATCAAAATTTCCATATGTTAAATTTTACCTCACATAGTTGAATCCAAAATCAATGGCCAGTAATGGAATGCTAACAACTGTCATTATACCGCAAAAAATGGCAAAAAACTGTATCGACATCTCGACATTTCGATACAGTTTTTTCCCATTTCCCAACATTTGTCCTTTAAGGATTTTTCGAGTTTTGAAACTAGATGATTAATATATTCTATTATAAATGCTATCCCTTGTAACAAATAAATAAAATTACTTGCACCGGAAAATTTTCTCCTGTTCTCTAACCTCTGAAAATCTCTATGAATTTCGGTATAATGACAGTTGTCAGCATTCCATTACTGGCCATTATTTCTGGATTCAACTATGTCAGGTAAAATTTAACATATGGAAATTTTGATAGGTATGCCATAGTTTATTAAAAAATTAACTTAGTTTTTCCAAAAACACCTAAAATTAATAAACATTTTAAAAAATTAAATGGATTTCTCGGATTTTGATACTGAATTTTGGATTTGTTGGGTTTTGCAACTCATACGCATGGATTTATCGGAGTTTGATTTCTATTAAAATTCAAAACACCTACTATTTTAAATAGTTAAATCATGAACAAAATAGTTTAATTAAAACAGATTTTAATTATATAATCAAGTCTGGGATCTCGTCAACTGGTTCACAAAAATTGTTTTTCGTTATCTGGAACATCATAGTATTTTTTCAGAACATTATTTTTCTTATTCTGGCCAATTTTCAGCCCAGTGCTTTTTCAGTTAGACTTTCACATCTTTTAGCTTTTATTTATTAGGACATGCGTCACTCAACAGGACAGGTTGTAACTACATATGATAATTTTAACTAATTTACCTTTCTTAAATACAGACCAGGTCCGACTTATAGGATTGTTCTCCTCGAATTGTTACTGTCTTATTTTTCCTCGTCTTAGTAGAAACCTTTTACTCATATTGAAACTGAAATGCCATTGTACAGGAGGTTTGATTGCAGTTTAAGAGTCCTTTTTTCAGTCGTAAACGGTTACATCACTTCCCAATGCAAAAACGTTTCCATGATCATTAAATATTTCGAGAAACTCTTCTGGAGAAACGATGGTGTCTTTTCTTTTTATAACCTCTATGCAAAGACTGTCTGGGGGAATAAATGAATGTCCAGCCCACATACTTTAATTTTCTTTTACTATACGGAGAATGGTTGCACTGCGCAGCTTTCTGAGTGCATTTTAAAAGGAGATAGAAAACACTGCCATTTTGAACCCTTATTACGTGTTGCCTACATCTTGGCGCAATATTTTTAATAGGTGCGTTTTAATCATCCGCTTCTGCTTCGGAATTGTCGGTTTTCTTGTTTTAATCGACTTAAAACGACTAAACCGACAATTCCGGAAGCAGAAGCGGATTATTAAAACGCACCTGATATTTTGCTTGCTGCTGTCAGTGTCAGTGAATATTATTTTTGGAGTTACAGTTTATTGCCAAAGAATCAGTTAGCTCACTCGGACCAGTTGAAATTTCTAAAATAACATGCACTCCAGGGATACATTCAGGATATGCAGAAGACTGCTGTTTTATTATAGACGGTTGTCATATATTGTATTATTCGAGTTGCGCAGTGTATAAACTGGAACATTGAGATCAAAAGTGCCGACGCAGAGTGAGCGATCTGATTCTTTAGCTATAAACTGTGTCATAGGGTTCAAAATGGCCGCGCCCTATGTTGGGCGTGACGCACCTCTCTCTTGCCCCATACAGTAATCAAAGTATGTGGTCCAGCCACAGAAAATATAAGCTCCAAGTTTTTAACATAGGGGATGCATGTACACAAATCTGTTTGGTGCACATAGTTTTCATCATTAAATTATTATTTTGGTCCCCTCAGCCATCGGCTATAAGCCGAATAGTATCTATTTTATCGAAATTAGTTGTGCACATGTTGTGAAAAATTGCACTAGCAATTTCATTTGCTCCTTTTGGATGTTGATCTTCAGTGCATAAAAACACCTTTTCCTTAGACAGTGGTAGCGGTAGCGAAATTACATGCATATAATTGCTGACTGTAATAAACAGATTTTGGGTAGTCAAACGATATTATTTTTAAGACTACTCTTTCTTTTCTAAGAGAAACAAAAAAGTTTTGACCCGTAAGTCTTTTTTAAAGTTGTTCATCTTTAATTTTTTCTGTTAGCTGAAGGCAAGTAGAACAAACATCTGTTCTTAGAGAACCGAAATCAATATTATAGCAGTTGTTAAAAATATGACGGAAATAACTTTTTTTTACCATAACATACGAAGAAACAATTTCCACTTCTCTGCTCTATAATCGCCACATTTTTGATATATTTAAATCCGAGGGTAAATAAGGGCGACTGCTCCTATTTCTGCAGTAATAAGATTCAACATTGTTAAATTTCTCAATAAATTTTATTACAGATATGCTTTTTTTCTGCCGGAACAATCTTTCTGATTCCTGGTTAATTGTGGATAAACTCTAGGACCAAAGTTTCCCTTCAACGATGTACTTTAGAAATATTTAAATAGATTATTTTCTGGAAAACTTACAAATATAATCATAGTATCAGTGAAGTGAATTCTATTTTCACTTGTAAGTTTTTAACCACTTTGCTTAGGATAGTGATTAAGATGGGTGCCGTTTTCACAATTATTATAAACCTAAATCTAAGCATACAAAAAGTATTAGAGATGATATAAAGGTATATTAAATAAGATGGAAAAAAAATAAGAAATTAATACTTAATCTAAATGTGAAAGATAACATTTTTTTAAGTTATTAGTGAAAGTTATCAAAGAATCAGAGAAAATGTCAATGTCAGTGAGAGTTGAGATTGAGTTGAACGATTTGCTACATCTCTGCAAAGGAGAGTTTAGTTAGTAATTTGTGGAACTTTAGTTAATATTTTAATATTATTTATTTCTAGTATTATAAGAGGGAACAATAAATTGTATTTTACTTAAGATGGCACTGGAGTCAATTTGGTTATTTACAATTTTAAAAATAAATTTGATATCTGAAAGTTGTCTCCTATTAGATAATGAAATAAGTTTTAAATCTTTTTTATGGCATAGACATTTTGCGAACTATGGGAGAATTGTTTATTAACATACACTGCAAATTTATTCTATAAGTTTTGCAATCTATCTATGTAAATATTATATTGAGGGTTCTAAATTACGGTACCGAAATTAAGTAAACTGTTGACATATGCCATATACAGAGTTCGAGTAGAATCAATACTTTTAAAATTATGACAAACTATTATAAGGAAGCCTAATGCTTTATTTGCTTCTTTAGGAATGTAATTTATATGTGTGTCAAATAAAAGTTTACTGTCGAAAAAAATTCAGAGGTCTTTTACCTCAGAAACGCGATTTAGAGTTTTATTATTGAAAGAGTACTTATGGTCTATGATATTTTTATTTCTAGTGAAAATGATTCAATGACATTTCTTTGGATTAAGAAAAAGGTTATTGTTTTGACAGTAAAGAGCCAATCTATTCAAGTCGTGTTGAATTAGTAAATAATCAAAGGCACTAGTGATTTTTAACAAAATTTTTAGATCGTCAGCATACAATAAAAATTTTGCATATTTGAAACATGATACAATGTCATTAATGTATAATATTATAAATAGCAGAGGACCTAGGCGTGAACCTTGAGGTACCCCTGATATGATAGTAGCAAGCTGAGAACGATACTTACCAATAGAGACTGCTTAAGATCTGTTACTCATGTATGATTTGAACTGTCTTAGTAAATTGCCATGAATACCGAATCCAGTCAATTTTTAAGCAAAATAGCATGATCAATCTTGTCGAAAGCTTTATTGAAATCGGTAGATATAGATAGCGTTTAAGTACTTGTGTTCCTTTTTCCATATTTTCTAAGAGATAATCTGTATACAAAAATAAGTTGGATTCTATCGAACGAAATAATGCAAAGTTTCGAAATTGGTCTATAATTTTCGACAAGATACCTATTACCAGATTTAAATATCGGAACTACAAGGGCATTTTTCCAAGAGTTAGGAAAACAGCCCTCACAGAGCGATTTGTTAAATATAATAGACAATATATCTGCCATCTCATTAGCACAGTTTTTTAAGAGACAAGTGGGTATATTATCGAAGCCAGCAGGTTTATCTGGAAGTTTTAAAATCTTGTCATAAATTGTTGCTTTTAAAATAAAATAATTACGTATGTGATGTAAGGTGTCATGCCGGTCATTAATTAATATATCATTATTAGGAGGATGGCCACATAATTAAAGTAACCTGAAAATATTTTACAAATCTTATCACCTTCAGTTATCATTCTACCACCATCTTTCAACGCATAAATGACATAGGATTTGCCTTTTTTAGATTAAATAAACTGCCATAAGTGATTGAAGTTTCAATTTGCTTAAGATAGTTCTTGTAGTCGTGATTAATTAAGTATTTTGAACGTCCACGTAACAATTTAAATATTAAGTAGTCTAAGTTATTGTGATACTTTTTCCATTTAATATGAAATTTTCTCTTTTCTTTGATAACTTTTATTGTTTTAATTCTAAACCAATGTGGATAATAGGACTTAATTTTTTGGTACTTAGGAACATGTTTCTCGAAAATGTTATACAAAATTTTATAAAATTCCTGAACACTATCGTTCGTATTGAAATTTGAAAATTCCTTTGTCTAATCAAAGGACTGTAATGCTGTGTTTATAGCATGGTAATTACCTTTACAAAAATTAAAAATAAAACCTTCATTAA